CTCTACTTGTACTCTCTTTCTCTGCTTTGCTTCATTATGTAAAAATGATATCACTAGAAAAGAAAAAGAAAAAAACTACTATAATCCCGATACACTATGTCTCTTTGCAACTTTTAAAACGGTACCCGTTATCTTGAATCATTGATAACGTATATGTACTTTCAATGGTAAGAGTTATAGCTTACTTTTTAACTATGACTTTAACATAAAGAAAGGTCGAATCGAATTATGAGCTTATTATACTATACTACTTTATTTTTTTATTTTTTTTTAATTATAGCATTACGGACGGATGGAGAGATATTTCGTTTTTTGTATGATATTCAAATAAATATTTTATTTGACAATAGTTTTTAATTACTTACTAATCATAACTATTTTTATATAATTATGTAAAATTATTAGATTACTGAGTCAGGTTAGCAAGATTACAAACAATACCAAAATCCCCAACAATTTACGTGCCAAATAAAAAGTCAAAGATTTTCAATATAAATAATTTCAATGGTGGTAGTAGGAAAAGAGGGGAAATATCGATCGGTCAAGCAATGCATATGTTACGATTAATATTCAGATAACAAGGGATTCTATACAATGTCCTTGTAAAATCGAAAAAATCTGTGAAACATCTGCACATCATTTACATTGCCTATTGATTTCTATAATTCTGTTTTGGGTCAATTTATAAAATGTACTTCATTTAGATTTGTTCAGAGATTGGGGGATGCAGAGGGAGTGATTTTAAGCTATTTTAGCTAAAAAAAAAAACTAAGAAAATTTAATAATTATACATAATTCTTTTAACAATATTCGATCAATCTATAAGATGTGCTTCATTGGGGTCGTCTACGTTTTGTTCTTTTACAAACGTTCAAATTTGAAATAAATAATAAACAGTTTGTATATTAAACTTATAGTTAAATACACCATTATTCTTATTAAGGACAGATGTAGGCCGCTGTAAACCATCCTCTCTCTCCTCTCTTATCGCAGAACAATGAAGTTTACAATGTGAGTCGTTAGTATACATAGAACCTTTAAGATATTACGATAATTTCGGAATGTTGAATTCAGTTATATTTATAATTTTTTAAAACAGTTTTTAAAATTCATTGTGACACAAAAATAAGTTACTTTTATATAAACATCAAAGGTATCATACCAAATATAAAACATTTACGTTATATCGAAGAAAATAATTTTCAATTACATTACGGAAAGTGTATTGCTGTTATTGGCAAAAAGAGAACAAAAATTCGAACAAAGTAATTTCTAAAAATTATCTGTTTACGTACGAAAAATATTAGACAGGATGTACAATTCCGATACATTGAACAATGAGGATTTATTACAAGAAGATGATCAAATATGTAGTTATCAAAATCAAGTCGAAACATTGAACAATGAGGATTTATTACAAGAAGATGATCAAATATGTAGTTATCAAAATCAAGTCGAAACATTGAACAATGAGGACTTATTACAAGAAGATGATCAAATATGTAGTTATCAAAATCAAGCTCTTACATTGATGCAAGTTTATAAATTAGAAGACAAGGAAGAATTTTTTGAATGGTTGAAAAAGTTTGAATGTGTAGCAGATATTATCAGTATACCACCAGATAAAATGGTTGAATTTTTTAACTGCATGGTGGATACTGATGTCCACACATACATCAATAAGACTAATCCTATCTATGACTTCTGTATATTTTCGTACGAAGATACAGTAAAACATTACTCTATTGTGTTATCTAGTAGACGTTTTATTTCTCGGATACAATATGAAAATGAGACACTACTAGAATATTCTTATAATCTACTAAAAATATTTAATGAATGCCATTATCCACGTGATTTCGAAGAAAGTTTATGCGAACAATTCAATTATGGACTCCAGGACGATAATATAAGAAAACATTTAAAACAAATATCTTGTTTATCATTCGATGAAACGGTAGCACAGGCAATTGAATTTTGTAAAAATACTTTTCTAATCTATTACAAAGACCTAGCTCTTTTAAGGATTCATTTTTACAATCTAGAAATGAAAG